CACCTGTTGGTCAACATCAAAGAAAATTCAACGCACCAACGATTGATGAAGTGGCAATTGTCATAGTTGGTGAAGAATTTACTTCTCGCGACATAATTCTTCATCGTAGAAATGGTGAAGTCCAGAAAGTATCAGAAACGCATCGTTCATATGATGCATTACAATATCCCATTCTATTTTGGCAAGGAGAGGATGGATATCATTTTAATATTAATATGAGAAATCCTACAACTAATGTGGACATTAACAAAAAGGTCAGTGATATGCATTATTATGCATATCGAATGATGATTCGTGAGAATGCTGATAATCATATATTGAAATGCAGACAATTATTTCATTAATACATTGTTGACATGTATGCAAAAATAGAAAGTGAAAGACTCCTCTACATACGACTAAATCAAGTCAAATTGCGTTCTGAGGAGTACATCCATTTACGTGATGCAGTTGTAAATGATGGCAATCTTAGTGAAATTGGAAAAATAGTCATTTTGCCATCCACATATACAGGCAGACCAAGACACATGCATGAATATGCACAAGATGCAATGACGTATGTTCGTGCATGTGGTCGTCCAGATTTTTTCATCACATTTACATGTAACCCAGCATGGAATGAAATAAAGGAGCTTCTATTAACTGGACAATCGTCATCAAATCGTCATGATATTTCTGCACGTGTATTTAAACAAAAGTTAAAATCTTTAATGGATTTTATTGTCAAGCACCATGTATTTGGAGAGACGCGCTGTTGGATGTATTCCATTGAATGGCCAAAAAGAGGTTTACCACATGCGCATATTTTAATATGGATGATGGAAAAGATAACACCTAACAGAATTGATCAAATCATCTCTGCAGAAATACCAGATATTGAAATTGATAAAGATTTGCACGATATTGTCTCAAAAAATATGATTCACGGTCCATGTGGCTCACTAAACAATAATTCACCATGCATGTCAGGTGGAAAGTGCACAAAGCGGTATCCTAGAGACTTACTTGCTGAAGCTATTACAGGCAATGATGAATATCCACTCTATCGACGACGATCTACCGAAGATGGTGGAAAATCCATTAAACTAAAAGTACTCAACAATACTATTGATGTTGATAATCGTTGGGTAGTACCATATTCTCCATTACTACTAAAAACATATAACGCGCACATAAATGTTGAGTACTGCAATTCAGTGAAAGCTATAAAATATATTTGCAAATATGTGAAGAAAAGGAAGCGATATGGCAGTGTATGCACTGGAAAATACAACCGCTTCTAACGATGAAGTCACCCAATATCAACTGGGACGCTTCATAAGTAGCAATGAGACCGTATGGCGTATTTTATCATTTTCCATTCATGAGCGATATCCAACGGTTGTTCATTTAGCAGTACATCTTGAAAATGGACAGCGTGTGTATTTTACATTAGAAAATGTACGTGCAAGAGCAATGTCACCACCGCCAACAACATTAACTGAATTTTTCACATTATGTAGAAATGATACCTTTGCAAGGACACTACTGTACTCTGAAGTACCAACTTATTTTACGTGGAATACATCAACAAGAAAATTTCAGCGTCGTAAACAAGGTAGAGCAGTACAAGGTCATCTAAATTTATATTCCACAGATGCATTGGGTCGTCTGTACACTGTACATCCAAATAAGGCAGAATGCTTTTACCTGAGATTATTATTAATCAATGTTCGTGGACCAACATCTTTTCAAGAATTAAAAACAGTCAATGGCCATGTGTGTGCTACATTTCGTGAGGCTTGTCAGAAATTAAGTCTCTTAGAAAACGATGCTCATTGGGATATTTCACACGCTGATGCTTCTAATACAGCTCAACCACCACAGATACGTACACTATTTTCCTACATACTAACTACATGTTTTCCGGCTAATCCAAAGGATCTTAGGGGAAAATATAAAGACTATATGAGTGAAGACATTTTACTTCGCATGCGTAGAATAAATGCTAATCCCAACATTCAATTTACATCAAATATATACAATGAAGCATTGATTTTAATTGAGAATGTATGTTTGACAATAGCCAACAAATCACTGACAGATTTGGGAATGATTGCTCCAAATAGATCTGGTAATGACATTTTCGATCGTGATATACAACGAGAAACGCACTTCGATGTTAATGAATTACAAACATTTGTTCGAATTAATCTTCCGAAATTGGTATTAGAACAACGAACAGCATATGACACAATTATAAATGCAATATCTAACAAGAGTTGTGGCTTATATTTCTTAGATGCACCTGCAGGTACTGGCAAAACTTTTCTTATTTCAATTATTCTGGCAACTATAAGATCACAAAATAATATTGCACTTGCTATTGCATCATCTGGTATTGCAGCAACTCTTTTGGACGGTGGTCGAACAGCACATTCAGCATTGAAATTGCCATTAAATGTGCAGGTAATTGAAACTCCAACATGTAATATTAGCAAAGATTCTGGGATGGGAAAAGTGCTAAGATCATGTCAGCTTATAATATGGGATGAATGCACCATGGCACACAAGAAATCATTGGAAGCACTCAATCGCACATTAAAAGATTTGAGAGGAAATGAGCAGCTCTTTGGTGGTGCACTCATTTTGCTAGCTGGTGATTTTAGACAAACTCTACCAGTCATACCCCGTTCAACACCAGCAGATGAATTGAATGCATGTCTCAAATCATCAGTATTATGGCGGTATGTGGAGAAAATATCTTTAAAGACCAATATGCGTATTCAATTACAACAAGATGAATCTTCTGAACGTTTTACAAAACAATTGTTAGATATTGGGAATGGTAAAATAGAAATGGACCAATCCACACACTGTATTACATTACCAGAAAACTTTTGTCACATTGTAAAATCCACTGATAAATTGATTGCAAAAGTTTTTCCAAATTTATCGCAGAATTATAAAAATAATCAATGGGTTAGTGAGCGTGCTATATTGGCAGCCAAAACCATTGATGTGAATTCAATAAACTGCAAAATTCAAAATGAAATACCTGAAGAAGAAACAGCATATAAATCCATAGATACTGTTGTCAATCAAGATGAATCAGTTAATTATCCAATAGAATTTTTAAATTCATTGGATCTACCAGGAAAGCCACCGCATATTTTATCTTTGAAAATTGGTTCCCCAATCATCCTTCTACGAAACATAAATCCACCACGACTATGCAGTGGGACTAGGCTATCAGTAAAAAAAATAATGAATAACATAATTGAGGCAACCTTCTTAAATGGAAAACACCTAGGAGAACATGAACTAATACCACGCATTCCCATGATACCAACGAATACTCCATTTGAATTCAAACGTCTACAGTTTCCTGTACGACTAGCCTTTGCAATGACCATTAACAAAGCACAGGGACAATCATTGCAAGTATGTGGATTACATTTGATAAATCCATGCTTCTCACATGGACAGCTGTACGTTGCGTGTTCACGAGTTGGAAAACCATCAAATTTATTTGTTCTTGCACCAGTTGGGAAAACAAAAAATGTTGTATATTTACAAGCACTGCTAAGATAAAGTTCACCATCAATCATCAAATATCCTGCATTTCATGATGTATTGTTTAATACTACAAGTGAAGAAACATGTTTATTCTACCATCAACTATGTATATCTATGTTTCGTTATATTCAAATGACATATATGTAGGGATAGTTTTATTATTAATTTTCATTTTGATGTATTGCATACATTTGATCATTAATCACAGCAACGTGTGAGTGGGTACAGCTAGTATTTAATATATATTTCGGACACATTATTAACAATTAAATGGGATTTTTAATAAAATGACTTATTTTCCGTTATACATCTTTACATATGTTACGCAACCTTATTTTTATGTTTTTTTTTATTTTTTTAAAAAAACTGTTTTTAATTTTTAAGGTTGTTTTTCCTTAAAAAAAATTAAAAAAAATTGATGGAGATGAATAATGTTTTTTTGTGTGCACACTTAAAACAATCTTTTATTTTTAAACAGCCACACTAGTGCCTTTTATGTCAAATACTGAACATATGTCAAATACTGACACATGTATAAAATATTGAACTGATTTATCTCAAAATCAGTTTATTATTATTATTTGTTATCATTATCAATAATTCAAATGCCATAATTTTACACAGTTAACATAGAAAAATGCATATCTTTGAAATTATATTTATTTGCAACATTGTAAAAGTACAATATATTTCAATATTTTCGATAAATTATAACGTTAATTTATGTTGTTGTGTTAATAGTGTTAATTTTTTTTCCAAGCTATATACAGATTAGCACTATTGTGAGTACTATTTGTGTCACTTTGTCTTAAATGCAATGAGATAGTCTATGGAATGCAATAAGCAGAGATGGCTTCAAAGTTAGACTAGAAGGTAAAACTTTTTTTCCTTTGATCAAACGTGAATGTACCCATCCATAGAGATTGGTTAAAAAGAATTCTTAAAATTAGCTGCTGAGTTACATTTATAATAAAAAAAATTACCTAAATTTTTTTTCTTGAATGTCGATAAAAGAAAAGCTCATCTTGTTTAGAAGATTTGTAATTATTACAACTTTACGTAAAAGCACATTTTATTAACATATTAGTCGCAACTAAATGAAAGGGTAGCTGAATTAAATGAGAAGTAATTTACTTGTTAACAATAACCTTATATCGTTAGTCGTCATTGGAAACTATTTTTATCTCTTTTCAGTCTTTATATTTCAAAAATTTTAAAATAAATATTAAGATTTATATCTGGCAACATCTATCTTCTAATTTCTTATTTATACATTTTTGTCATTTTTGACATCAAATCAAGTGTGAGCTTATAAAATAAAAATTGAGCGAGAGATGAATTTTTCACCCATAAAGGATAAATAACACTGGTTTTTTCTTCTGTTGCATGAGTTTTTTTTTTAAAACAGATCATAGATACTTTTGTATCGCTGATTTTTAAATCTGCAATCGGTTTCTTGCTCCAAGCTCCAAATTTTTTAAATGACATTTCAGTTTTGGTCTATTTTTTGTTATCATGTATTAGTTTTAAAACGTTGCCGGCCGAAGACTCCCCGTGTAGTTGGTGACTGATGCACGTTGAAATTCTGTCGAGTCGCAGAGTCCTCCATGTTCCCATAACAAATCAATACCTCTGGCGGTAGGAGATCGTTCGTTCTCTGATTCAGGTCAAAATTATGGTCTGTGGATGAATGATTGGATGAATGAATGGGTTCGCCTTATAAACAGGTGTGACGTATGGTGTGGCGAAATCGAATTCTTAGCCATAGATGGCGCCACTGAAAAACAAGAATCACTCACTCTGCCTTAAATTTGCTCGGTTTCACAAAACAGGCTTGTCCGTGTGGTAAGTGGAATTAGAACCAACCAACCAACCAACAAAACCAACCAACCAACCAAGTTTTAAAACGTTATATATAACAGGGGGTCTAAGGACTTGCATAGAAACCCATGCTCGTCGTATGGAAAAATCGGCATACGCCACTAGGTCAGCTTCCTTTTTATGAGCTGTTTCTTCTGTTGCTTTAGAACAGGTCATAACATGGAAGAGCTTTTAGCCGCGTCTGACAACATTTGGGGGAAGGTTCTGTGAAATTTTAATCCATGATGATAAGTTCTAACTCCCCAAGAAGTTTGACGCAACATTTATGTGACAACCTGTTGTATATAACGATCTTAAACTTGTGCATTTCGACAAACAACAGACTAAAAATGTCATTAAAAAATATGTAGATTTAGGAGTAAAATTTATTTCAGATTTCAAGTCCCTATACCCGATTTTGGTAATGTCAAATATTTGCATAAATGCGACAAAAAATGTGTTCCCCAGAGAAATTATAATAAATAAAAAAATATTTAAAAAAAAAGTTTTCGAATAAATACTAATATTGAAAAAAAACTATAAAAAATTATAATTCGATATGATCGTTTCAGTTCGTCAGTTCAGTTCAGTTTAGTTGCATTTCAGGAAACAGCAGGTCAAACATGTTTTTTTCTTACTACAGTTAATTATTATCGACCTAATAATTAAATCTGATTTCTTTTTTATTTTATTGAACTCCTTGTACGTTTTTCTACGCAAAATCCAAATTTCAAGTTTTCAAGTTTTTCAGTCGCAAAGTCCTCCATGTTCCCATAGCAAATCAATACCACTGGGGGTACTGGATTGGAGATCGATCTTTCTCTGATTCAGGTCAAAATTACGAACTGTGGATGAATGAATGGATGTATGAATGGGTCCGCCTTATAAACAGGTGTGATGTATGATGTGACAGAAGTCGAATTCTTGGCCATAGATGGCACCACTGAAAAACAAGAATCGCACTCTCTGCTTTAAATTTGCTCGGTTTCACCAAGCAGGCTTGCCTGTGTGGCAAGTGGCATTAGAACCAACCATAACCGTCGTTGAACTGCCGACCCAATTTTTGCGTTTACGACTATTAAGGTTCAACTCCGGTGTCCTGTAATTTTGAACCCAATCCAGAAGACACGTGCACTCGTGGATCAAATATTGGGAAAATTTTTTCTTTCTTGGAGGACTTTTTGAGGGAACTAACCCGAATTTGTGTTACTTGGAAAGGAAAACCATGAAAACCTCATACGGTTAGCCTGATGGCTAGGTATTTTCAACCCATGATCTGTCTACCACTGAGGAAATTTTACGTCAGAACTGTGTTGTATCCCCTGAGCCACCAGGGCTCAATATAGAGAAATTGTACCTACCCTTTGCCAAGCTACGCGACAAATACTCTCTACGATTCCGCCAGTTATGATTATGGTCTCCTGTTCTGGATCAAAGGCGCTGTTTTCTGGCAGTTTTCCTCCGCATTTGTGTAAAGGTTCAGCTCTTTCTTTGTTTTTGGTAGTAAAAAGCCAGAATTCTGAGTTTGGCACATTCGTATCAGTTCCTTTATATATTGGAGTGAAAGCCTCTGGTATCGATGTATTGCAATGCTCGAAATCTATGGTTTCAAAGCATGGCTCTCCTTGCATTAGAAAACTCACAAAAGGATCAAAAGCTACCGAGAAAGTTAATATGCATCATTATCAAATAAAAGCATTTTAAAACAAAAAAGTTTACACTTAATATACACTACCTACAATAATAGAAGAGACATTAAATAAATAATTCCAGGAAATTGAATCGGTAAGATATTACTTCATTAAAAACTTCATTCGCTTCAAAAAATTACAAATTGAAAACAACAGTCGACATGTTTTAAGCGTTTAAAAAAATAGACATCCATTTTCAAGATTTGCAAGATGTGAATGAGAAGAAGCAAAAGAGATTTGAAATATAAACGTAATGTCGCCAACAAAAAAAGGAAAAATAAAGGTGAGAAAACCCGAGAGAGAAAAAAAAGTGAAAAATAAAACAAGAAAAACCACAGTGACCGAGAGGTGCAAATCATTGTAAATTGCATTGCCACGCGCAATGGAAAGATGGTGTGGAACAAATATCGTTAACAAGGGAATCAGCATTCATATGAATGAAACAAGATTCCAGGACATCAAGAAAAGCTTATGCGACTGGAGAAGAAATAATTTTGGTACTGTCGAAATTGAATTTGTTCCCAAGATTTCAACAATGTGCAGCAATTGATGATTACTATTACTTACTTTTAATTACTATTACTTAAATAGACTTAAATTTTATTTTGTTAATAGGTCTAAAAATAGCTTTAAAACGAAAACAGCAGAGAATATTAGAAATTTTGTAACAGACGGGAGGAAAAAAAATTGCAAATTAGCAAGTTTTCTGTTAGAATCAGAGTTTCAGGTCTCGTGAGTTTAGCAAGAGCTGAATCCACTGCAGAAGGATTAAATCCACGGAATGGTGGAAGTTAAGTTCGGAATTTAAGAAAGAAGAGTCATAACATAGTGCGAGGGAAACAAAAGTATGAAATAAAGACATTTTTTGAAAATTAGAGTGATTAAAATTAATATGAGCACGCAAAGAGGCGGGAAAATGTTTGCGACAAAGAATAATCATTATTCCTTACCCTTCACGTCCACGTCTGGTAAGTTTTGAAAACGGGAGCCTGTTTTTTGAGTGCTTAAGACATGTCATCTGTTATTTGTAATTTTTCGAATAAAGTTTTTAATCAAATAATAGAAGAGACACTTTCAGTTTTTTTCATTTCATTAAATTTCTATAGAAATACTTAGAGGATTATTTCATAATTTTTGAGGTGTTTAGATGATATTCAATAAATTTTAAAGCTCTTAGAGGTTAGAGTAACCGACAAAAAATGAGTAACGAAGCAAGCAACACCTAAATCCAGAAAATAAGATGACAAACTTGTATCGATTATTTTGGTTGTCATTTGCAATAATTGCTTAAAATTTCTTCAATTTTTGAAAATTTTTGATATGAACATTTATATGAAAAAAACTTTTTTTTTGTCTTACGTTATTTTGCAAAAATTTTAAAAATATTTAATAAAAAAGCAAAATTTTGTCGCAATGTTTAGTTAATAACAAAATCATAATTTTAAAACTTAAAAAAAAATCGTT